CTATGTTTTATTTTTATTATTTTATTATTTCCCTTCTACGTGACTTTACCGAAAGAAACAAGAAGATGAGTTACAATTTCGCGGAACTCTTCGTCGTTGCTGTTGTTGTTGGTGTTGTTGTTGGTGGTGGTGTTGTTGGTGTTGTTGTTGGTGTTGTTGTTGGTGTTGTGTGCCATTCCACGATGCAACTGCATCACGCGTCCCAGTCGCACTCGCTCGCCTCCTCGGCTTCTCGCAAGGTCAGCGCCATCAAGAAGACTCCTTTTCGTCACGAAGACAAACTTTCATTCACGACACAGGTCCCATGCTCGTATCTCGCCATCTCTCAGTAGCGAGATGTCAACGACCTCGCCTGTTACACAGGACGTCGTGGGTTTGATCCCGAGTTTGCATGTTCTCCCCGTGGTCGCGTGGATTCCCGACCCCCCGTTTTCCCCTCCACATTCAGAAACAAATATTTCGAGTATTTGGCTGCTATACATTTCCACATGATAAGCCACTTCGTTGAGTGATCATTTGTGGCCCAGGTCGCTTCTGAAAAAGAGCCATGTAGCTCAGTGGGCTTTACCTGGTAATATAGAAAGTAGTTCGTAGTTGAAAGCAAAATACCCAGCACCATCCTCGACTGATTTCTCCGCTTTACATTCCCTCTGTACGACACGCACATACGTATTCATGTATCCTCCCCATGGGAGTCAGTCAGTTTTTTAGCACGTAGGATTTCGTGACCAATTTATGTTTACGTGCTCAAGTAGTAACTAATTGGCATGTTTTGTTCGTGTCACAAACCTTACTAAGTGGCTGTGTCGGATGGTGGCAGATTTAACGACACATTCATATTTACGCCGTCAAACCCCCAAAAAACCCTTCATTATGGATATTCCTTTACTTACAGCAGAGCTACTCAGATTAACGAACAAAATAAGTAATTACAACAATCCTTCATTCTATATTCGGTGTTTTCTATCCTTTTGCCATTTCATTGCCACAGTTTGTTTACTCACCTGCCCTCATCCCATCGAGCAAAATGCCCTTCCAAAAGCCACCTCGCCGTTCTTGGGAGAGTAAATATTACGTCTCTTAATTCATCATCATTTATTATTTATTCCACGCCCGCCATGAAGTGAGTCTCGAGGCGGCAGAACAAAGGCAGCGCTTGAGATAACAGCAAGAGATTCACTAAAATAGCGCGCACAAACAATGCAGCAAAGTCAAGCACACACACTACACACGTGCAATGTAAATAAACACATTGAAAAGCTAAAATATGCTTGAGATTACTTAATTTGGGTTATGGACTGTACACACTATTTGAAAACAATGTCTTTGCCTACTCATGCATTGATGAATTGTGGGCGCATTAATAATTGCGGGTAAGCTGTTGTACAACCTGTTAATCTCATTAGCTGTTCTTACAATAAAGCAATGCTCTTATCACACGGTGTAGTTTATGGTTTGGGATGTAATCTTGTAATAATTCAGCCAAACATGAGTGGAAGATTAACTAACTGTCCACAGGCAGCGTAGCTCACACAGTCGTGCAAAGAAAGACTGAGAACAAGAGACCGCTACCTGGCACTGTGCACGTGCAACCGAGCAGTTGGGAAGTGTGTCAAAGCCTCTGGTTTGTGCAGAGTGGCCTCAAAGAGGATTGGTTAGGACCAAGATAATTGAACTGATTGGGAGAGAAATCCAAACGTAAAAGGCGGGGAGAACGAGGGTGGACTGTCGGGGTATAACGGTTGACAGCCGTGAGAGAGAAGGAGGATGAGGAGGATAGGCTGAGAGAAATGGGGTGAGCGAACCTTCGTGAAAGGGGAGCTCGAGAGATATAAAAAGGGCAATGAACGGTTGGAGAGAAGACGAAATCCAAGCGTCAAGAACCGAAACCCGGGGCGAGAAATAGTTGTTTGTGTCCAAAATGAAGGCTCTTAGGAAATCAAGAACGTGTGTCGGCGTTACTACACGTGTATCCACTTCAGTTGCTTTATTGGAATGCAGGCATTCTAATAATTAACATCGTCCTGTCCTGATGTTGTCAAACAGTGAGCCAGTCTATGGAACTGGTGAGGTATACGCAGATTTGAAACCCAACCTCTCCTACAGAGACGAGAGAATGCCAATCTCTACGCTTTGGTTCTTTTGATAAAGTCACGTAGGTATAAAATAAAACAGTCTGCCTCAGCAGCAGACCATGCTTTCTCACGTGATGATGGACGCTTGTGTTGCGCCCGAAACGTCGTGATTTATTTTATTTTATACCTACGTGACTTTACCGAAAGAACCAAAGGGTATGGATTCCTGTAGTCACAAAAGCTTCAAATCAAGAATGTCAATCTCGTTATTGCTACCTAAGTGTTTCATATGTGAGATGAAAGTAAAACTACATTGCACGGGTTTTCAAAGTACGGGCACTTGGATAAAAAGTCGCCACTGGTCTCTCACATCTCGAAGTTTATATCGACTACTCTGATGCTCGTTTTAAACATTCTACATACGCATGTATGTTGAACATCATATGTAGCCAACCGTCTGGATTCTTGACCTGTTCAGCCTTAGATGCTGAAACTGAATTACGTTACCATTGGAGGTCAACACTTGTGAAGAATAATGCATGACTGCTGTGTGCTGGCGTCTGATTGGAAATAACTGTGTTTAATGTTGATCATGTGAACTGTTTATTTTTCACACTCATTTCTACGCAGCTTTTGCTCTGATTTCTAATTGCTTCATTTGTGTTTTGATGTTATTGCTTTTATCGTCATTTTGGTGACCCTGGTCACTCTTGCAAACAGAGACTGTCCTCGTCTCTTGCGTTATTATCTGGTTTTCACAAATACACATTGACGCTTTATCTCCTGGAACTGGATTGATTTGATTATTGTCCATAAATATTTGGGAAATTAATTCCAAGTTCCGTTCATAGGTCACAGAGTGGGATGATAAATTAGAAACGATAATGGTTTACAGAGTAAGAATACTTGTCGAGATCATGTCTAAACCAGCTGAATAACAGATGTGTATCTTGTCCTCTGGTTTATGTGTTTCAAACAATTTGAGTGCAATTGTTGAATCATGTTACATTTTTGAATCATGTTAAATTTTTGTTTGCCATTGTCCATGTTTCGGATCCATTTCATTGTGGGTAATACGCACTGATTGAAAATGTTCTTCTTCAGGGACATTGGTATGTTGCTTCGTGGCTCTTCATGAACACATTCATTCATCCAGTCACACCACAATAATGTATGGATTTTTTTGCGTGACTTGTCAGCGTGCCTGAACCAATGCTGGTGAACTGACCGATGTTTATACGGAGGGATTCTCTCCGTTAGATATAGGTCCTATGTTGACACAAACATATTAAATACATAACACAAATGAATCAGGAGTGTCATTGTGGAGAATATAAGTGAAACACATTTATCATCAAACAATTCGCCTCCATCACATATCTGTCGCTCCGCATCGAAAATAATTGACAGTAACGAATTGTTGATGATTATTTATGTATCCTTGGTTCTTTCGGTAAAGTCACGTAGCAGGGAAACAATAAAATAATAAAAAATCACACCTGATGATGATTGCTTGTGTTGCAATCGAAACGTCGTGAGAATTTTATTGTTTTATTATTTTATTATTTTATTGTTTCCCTTCTACGTGACTTTACCTAAAGAACCAAGAATATGAATCCCTGCAGTCACGAAAGCTTTAAATCAAAAATATTATTTATGTTTTATTGTTTAATTTTTCCGTCAAACTAGGACCCACATCTAACAGAGAGAGTCCTTGCCTAGAACCTTCTAGCAGTTCACCGGCGTTGTGTTCAAGCGGCGAGCCTGACTGCTGCTGCTGCTGATGATGAGACATTGAATGTCGATACCGGTCCAGAGTTCTCTTCGTGGCAAACCAATGTTGCTGAAATGATGCATTCCCAGAGGACGTGTGGTACTGATGGGATGTGTAAAACACTTTAGGGGCCGTCTATAAATGACGTCACGCAATTTTGGACGATTTTTGACCCCCCCCCCCTTTGTCACACGGCGTCACAAAAAGTCAGACCCCCCTCAACTATGACGTCACAAAGCTCTGCCCCCCCCCAAATAAAACATGCTTCAAATCGCTTCAAACTATTGTCATTGTAGTGCGTATTTAATGTGGCGCTGCACTATGATGTAGAAGAAACATTTATTAAAAAGTCTATTTAATTAAGTAGAACGTGCTGTTTATATTTATTTAAAGTTGCGCATTTTGATGTGACGTCACATTTCTCACCCCCCCCCCCCGTCACATATCGTCACAAATGTCTGACCCCCCCCCCCAGGTGCGTGACGTCATTTATGTACGGCCCTTAGATGTATTTCTTTTTATGTGCAGGGACAGATGCTGTTTGTGAAGAAGGGTGTATTGCCTACTTTCCAAAGAGACGCAATGTTTCATAGCCAAAACTTGCTTGTATTTTTTTCTATTTTAAACAACTAATGAACGATGTATAATGTATCTATTATTTTTATGTAGAAGTGTCTATTTTAATGTTTGAGTATGCAATGTGATGGCGCTTTGATTGGCATTTTCATGCCGGAAAGGCACCACGTGTATCATCAAAAATAAAACAAAGACTGGACGGTTCTCAATTATTTAATTAGTCATCGTATTCTCACATGCTGGATGATTTAAAAACAATCTTAATCATAATAAACACTTCGATTTAAAGCTTTCGTGACTGCATGGATTCATATTCTTGGTTATTTCGGTAAAGTCACGTAGAAGGGAAATAAAAAAACTAAAATAAAAAATACGTGACTTTACCGAAAGAACCAACAATATGAATAATAATAATAAAAAACCTTAAAAAAATTGGGGAAATTAGCGTTCTATAAAATGACGTCATTCTGGTAGGGTGACAACGTCGTGCGTGACGTCACCGCGCGGGTGGGGTGGAGGGGGGCGGGTGGTATATAAGGGCGGGCCGCCCGAGATCGCGCACACGACGCGGAGCGCGGAGGCGCGAGGTGCGTTGCTGACGCGGCGCCTCGACTCGCAACTTCGCTCAAAGTCCTCGTCCTCTCCGATAAACCACCGCCACCACCACCACCGCATCATCCACTGACGTGGACAACACAGCCTCCACAACTAGCACACAACGACAACAACGTCGACCACGACGGAGGCGTTGCAAGCGTTCCGACCGTCGGGAGTCGTCGCAGCTCGCGAGAAGTGAGCGAGTGGGAGGGGACAAGCGGAACGGCAACACCGCGGGGGCAAGCGCCGGGCCCTCCCATCACCACCAACAACAACAACAACCATCGCCCCGTCGCCGCACTTCGCCAGCCCCCCCCCCCAACAGCGCGCGGGGAAATTTCGTCAAAATTTTTTTTTTATAAAAAATATTTTATTTTCAAAATTATTCCTTTTTCCGAGCCCGAAGCCAAACTACTAGAATCGTCAATTTCACTAGTTACTTAAACCCCCATTTTTTTCTTTCGACCGTACATTTCCTCCAATTGTTTTTCGTTTCTTTGTTAATTTCTTACTTACACATTCCACTTTTGAGATCTTCTGACCATCTCCGCTCGAACAATTCGCGCCCCTGCAATGGGGACCCGTGGCACGCCGCGGCTACCGCTGCTGCTCCTCCTCCTCCTCCTGCTGCCGTCCTTGGCCTCGGCGCAGAACGACGAGTGGTACACGGCCTTCGTGAACGTGACGGTGGTGGACCCTCTGGCCTCCAACCGCAGCGTGGCGGCGCTGGGTGCGCCCCCCGCCGAGACGGGCCGCTACGGGGGCCACTCGCCCAAGGAGGACGCCCAGGGGCTGTTGCGGGTGCCTCTGCGCGGGGTGAACGCGTGCGGAGCGGGCAGCCGATTCTTCGGGCCCGGCGAGACGCCGCCGGCACGCTGGGTGGCCCTGGTGGCACGCGGCAACTGCACGTTCCGGGAGAAGATCGGGAGGGCGCGCAACCAGAGCGCGTCCGCCGTGCTCGTGTACAACCTGCCCGACACGGACGGGGAAGTGGTCACCATGAACCACCAAGGTGGGTGGGTGGGTGAGAGAGTGAGAGTGGCGGTGCGGGGGGGGTGTCGTGGCAGGGAGGGTTGGGGGAATGATTGGGGTGGTGGTGGTGGAGCGGTAGTTGTGGTGGAGCGGTGGTGGTGGTGGTGGTTGTGGTGGAGCGGTTGTTGTGGTGGAGCGGTAGTTGTGGTGGTGGTGGAGCTGGAGTTGTGGTGGAGCTGTAGTTGTGGTGGAGCTGTAGTTGTGGTGGAGTTGTGGTGGAGCTGTAGTTGTGGTGGAGTTGTGGTGGAGCTGTAGTTGTGGTGGAGTTGTGGTGGAGCTGTAGTTGTGGTGGAGTTGTGGTGGAGCTGTAGTTGTGGTGGTGGTTGTGGTGGTGGTTGTGGTGGAGCTGTAGTTGTGGTGGTTGTAGTGGAGCTGTAATTGTGGTGGTGGTTGTGGTGGAGCTGTAATTGTGGTGGTGGTTGTGGTGGAGCTGTAGTTGTGGTGGTGTTTGTGGTGGAGTTGTGGTTGTGGTGGTTGTGGTGGAGCTGTGGTTGTGGTGGTTGTGGTGGAGCTGTGGTTGTGGTGGAGCTGTGGTTGTGGTGGAGTTGTGGTTGTGGTGGAGCTGTAGTTCTGGTTGTGGTGGAGCTGTGGTTGTGGTGGTGGTTGTGGTGGAGTTGTGGTGGTGGTGGAGCGGTAGTTGTGGTGGTGGTTGTGGTGGAGCTGTAGTTGTGGTGGTGGTTGTGGTGGAGTTGTAGTTGTGGTGGTGGAGTTGTGGTGGTGGTGGAGCGGTAGTTGTAGCGGTGAGCGCGCTGCGCTGCGAAGTCGTCCGCTCGAGTTGGCGATTCCCGCTCACGGCCAACATCTGTGACGAATATCTGAACCGGTCCTGGGCCTCCCCTAGGTCGACTCAGACTCAAATGAGTAACCTGGCGCAGTGTGTAAACATTGCCACTGGGGAGACAAAGGCGGCCGGGCGTGGTGCTGGTCACCCGTCCTCTCGTGTGCCGTGTCGGCCTTCAAAGCTATACGGGGGTGGAGGTCTTTGTTTTGGTTGTGGTGGTGGTGGTGATGCTCCTTGAAAGTGTTCGTGGTGCTGATATCATTGATGGCAGTGCTGATGATGTCCGCGGTGCGAATGTCCGTGATGAAAATTTGCGATTGTGTGCCCGGATGACGATGACGCCTGGTGCTCATAACGTCCCAGGTGTTGATGTCTGTGGCAATGTTAAGGGCCAATTTTATACAACACCTAACTTCACCCCCCCTTCCCATGTCCTCCTTTAATGGCATTTACACAGGGACAAGTTCTCATTTATGTATGTTGAACTTCTTTCGCATCGAACGTAACCATCCGTGCTAATCGGGGGGTTTCTGCGAGCTGCCCATGATGTGACGATCTTATGATGCTGATGATCATGCACCATGCTAATGTACAGACTAATCGTGTCTTTCGTTGGGTGTTCTGTATTATGATGTTTATGATCAAGTCTATGGTGCCATGTAACATTATTTTTGCCAATGTTCAATGGCTTTGATAATGCTGTTCAAACGCATGCGGATTTTGTCCCTTAAATGTTCTGCGTGATGGTGGTGCCCAAGGTAGTACGTTCGCGTTCGCTGATGCTGTCTGTGGTGCAGCTCGCCGTTCTGCTGGTGTGCACGTTGATATCCGCTGATGATAGCGATGATGCTGATATCTCCTGCTGATGTCCCATCTTGAGGGTAGATGTCCTTGCTTTTGCTGTCCTTGGTGCTGATATAAATCAGTCGGTGGACAAAACTGTGATCATGCCGTTAATGAAACCAAATGTATAAGTGACTCTTCCACGGTCAAAATGATGGTAATTTTTTTTTTAAATCCATTGGCTCCAATAAAATTGTCATTTTTAAAAACCAAACCAAATCGGACGAGTGTGCGCACCTTTATTTAATTAACATCATTATAAATGTTATCCATGATTAAAATGAAACATTCATATTGTGTGGTATCTGTCGAGTTAAAATTTGTCATTTTTCACCAACACTAAATATAACCAAGGGCGTAATCCAGATTAAATTCTTAATTCTCATATATGGCATAATTACATTGCCAGATTGTGAATTGCATTTAATATCCAATGCTTTTTTGCCAATACAGCACCATTAGTTTACCTGTGTACTCGTGTTTGTCTCCTGTAATAAATATATTGCGTGTGCTGCACATGAATGCGGTACAAGAATACATCATTGAATCATAGCACATTTCCCTGACAGTGACACATATGTGCACCTGGGAAATGGGCTTTAATTGGCCTGACTTTGCAGACAGCGGTCATAGAGCCTGACCATTAAGAGGCACTGCCATTATGTTGCTTGTGAGTGCATTACTCTTTTGTGGTCATTGTACTCTCAGCCCCAATGCTGATCCCTTCACCTCGCCCCTGTGCCAATGCATGTGCCGAAAATAATGAAATCTGCTTACGGATTACATGGAGGAGGATATGTTTTTTCCCCTACTTTATAAGTAAACACAATATTTGTGGGTTTGCAGTGGCTTGCTGGATAGTATGCTGTGTTGTGCCTGCCAAGTGGAGGATAATGCTGTAAACTACGGCATGTGTTCGCTGTGCTGCCATCACCCGAGCACTCGCTGTGAGTGTCTGGATTGTGGTGGTTGTGGAAATACTCTCATATTTGTCCAGCATGGTTTGCCAAGGTAAAGGAGGAGGTTTGTGACCGTCAAGACAACGGTGTGTACCCATTCCTGCTAGACTCACCCAAACCTAGCCCAGCGAGTTATTTTTATCGGACCGTTTCGGCCACTGTATATTCTAAAGTCTGGTTTTCATTCGGTCACCTTAATCGGAGGGCAGACAGCATGGTATGAAGTGCTTTATCATTTTTGTCCTGGCTTCCAGTAAGCACACAGCCGATGAATAAATCATCCCGGAATTCTCCCGACATCATCAGATCTTGGAAGCCAAGCAAGTTTGAGCCTGGATCGAGCTTGGATGGGCAACTACCTTGCCCAGCAGATTGGTATCGGCTGCTGTGGGGATTTGTGGTAAACAACGGAGCGCAATGGAGTAATAATATCTTGTTTAAATTACGCTTTAACATCTATGCTCCCCCAAGCGTCACCAACCTGTGCTGACCAACGTGATGAAGTATAGTCTAACTACCACGACGTGCACAGTGTGGATACGGCCTCATCCAGCAGTGGACTGACATGTACTTGTAGAAAGTACTCGGAGTGTGTACTTTGGCAGAACTGCTCACTTCGGAATAGATATGCTCCTGTGTACGGTATTCAAAACGGCCTTATCCGCATACTCATTTATCTGTGCTGTAACAGCAGCAAGTCAGGTTCACAGATGCAATTTTCAGTTGGGATCAGGGACCGACCGGTAGGTAAAATTTTATATAATTTCCAAATTGTTTTTAATGTAAATTAAATGTTTTAAACATGTTTCAAACGTCTCTAAGATGCGTTTAAGCATGCTATATACAATGTTATCATAGTGCACTTTATGCTTCAATATCAGTATCAGTCTGCGGACACGGAAGAAACAGCTAACAGACTTGTACTGTTAGTAGTACTTAAAGTATCTTCGTCGCCTACCACATTCAGTTTCTCGCACAGTTGTAAGTTTAATTGCTTCAACGTGCATTGGGATCTCATGTGAAACCAATCATCGAGTTAATCTACACACAGACCACACCTGTCTGCACCGGCTGTGACACTGCCTCTGGCTGGTGTGGCATATGTTCTCGGTTTGCTCCCAATATCCAAGCTCTTTGTCTCGTTTCGGCTCTCAGCTGAGGCTGTGTATAGAATGGCATCGTGGGTTTTGTTGTGCTTGAGGGGGGGTGGGAGCAGGGCAAATGCGTTGCGGGAGTCAGGTTTGGAGTGTCGACTTTCCACTTCCTGTTGGCACCGATCCTGGAATTTAGAACATAACCCCCATACTGTGTTCACTTACCCCTAATGCCTTATCCAGCTTACAACCAGATATGCACTCACTCCTGGGACATTTTAGAAGACCACACGGTATCTGCTGGTGTATTGCTGTAGTAGTAGGATCTCGACACTGTGTCCTGTGAAGTAGACGTCGGCCAAAGTGCCTCCTACCTCATCGAATGAGCTCTCGGCTCTCTTTGCGTGCCTCAGCCAATGTTGGACATTTTCATTTTCCACACTATCGTGGGGCCAGTGTTTCCATGGGACAACCGCTGTTTACATCTAAGAGCGATTCTAATTTTAATTATTAAACCCCGGAGGGACGATATGATTTGACTTCGCAGGATTTTCTAATTTTAAACAAGTCGGCCAAATATCTGTAGGGGTATCCGCTGAATGTTATCGCCATTTCAGGGGAGATTTCTGGTGCAGTAAAAGAGTACAGTACTGTATTGGCATTAAGTGAAACAACGTAGAGTATTACTCGTATCGTCTCATTCTCGATTGGCCACATTTTTCTCCGGTCCTGCATTGCAGAACATGTTTCTATACCCGCACATTTTTTTTATCGCAGTAAAGTGTAGTTCACGTGCAAATGCGTGGTATTTTTCCGCAGGAACCTGGGAATAAGTGGGGAGTACATTCGCGGATGAGAGTGTGGGTAATTGGACACGCAATGTTTACCCCCATCCCATCACTGTGGAAATCTACTGTAGTTGCTACGCCAATTTGCTAATGTGTTCACCCAACACCTTTGGTAACTATATGTAACACGAATCTGTACGGGATTTGGACTGAACAGTAATTCACGAGGATTGTATTGCACGTCACATGATCCCACGCGTGTGTGTGCAGCTGTGACGACACCAGGTGAGAATTATCTGAACCGGTCTTGGGCCTCCCCTAGGTCGATTCGGCCTCAAATTAGTATTTGGTGCGATGTGTAAATATCACCACTTGGGAGACAAAGTCGACTGGCCCACCCACCCACCGCCTCGTGTACCGTGCCGGCTTTCATAGGTGCTCACTAACAGCACTTGCCCCAACAGTCTATTAAGACTATACCGGTCTTTGTCTTTACACCTGTGTTCTCCACGCCT